GAATGTGCTACAGTATTGTGTGTACATAGCTGTTGTCATAAGAGGTTCCATGTGTGGGAGCCGTCCTGAGCACTGGCAATGTGGATGCCAGATGCCAGAGAAACCCAGAGACCTAAGTTCTCATTTGAACTGAGCCAACAGCCAGTGCTGTGGCCTGCAGGAGTTTCAACTTTTTCTCATGTGGTGTAAAAACTGCAGCTGCTTATCATGTAGGATTGCAGTGAGAATCAAATGAAATGTATCTGTGAATGGAAAGAGCTTGTATGAAAACTCTCAAACCCTATGCCAATGTAAGATTTTGAGGAAGTAAACACGATTTACATTCAAGAATGAACAAAACCAGACTTTTTTTTTTTTTTGTTTTTTTTTTTTTTTTTTTTTTTTAGTTAGCCTCTGGGACAAAAGAAAAGCACATATGGTTTTCTCTCTCCAGGTTCAACAAACACTTTGCTGGCATGCTAACTGCTTCTCACCAAGGGAGCAACCACGTTAAGCATGCCAGCATGAGAACTGACAACACAGACAAAGGCAACACACTCATGGAATGTCACTGTGTGTGCCTTGTGGCGATCCAGTCGCAAATGAACATCTGGGGGCAAAGCTCCAAATGCCTCTGTGTGCTTGTCTTGTCACTGACTCCTCAAACAGTCCTGTGAGCTCTGTTATCACCGCCGTACCCATTCCACAGCTGCAGGAGGCACAGCTGAGTCTGTATCATTGACACGTGCAAGGTGCACCAGGAGTAACGGAACTGAGGCCAGGTGTGGTGGCTCATACCTGTAATCCCAGCACATTGGGAGGCAGAGGCGGATGGATCATCTGACGTCAGAGTTCAAGACCAACCTGGTCAACATAGTGAAACGCTCTCTCTACTAAAAAGATACAAAATTAGCTGGGCATGGTGGTGGGCACCTGTAGTCTCAGCTACTCAGGAGGCTGAGACAGGAGAATCGCTCGAACCCAGGAGGTGGAGGCTACAGTGAACTGCGTGCCCCTGCAGTCCAGCCTGGACAGAGCAAGACTCCGTCTCAAAAAAAAAAAAAAAAAGAAGTAGTAATGGAATTGAGAATCAAAAACATTCCCAGGTGCAAAATTCTGAGAAATATATAATATTCTAGTCTATGTGATTACAGTATAATTTTTGTTATTAACATTTTAGTATATATTAATGCACACATGTGAACATATATACAAATAAACACATATTACCCCTTAACATAATTAGTAATGCCTTAGAGCAAGGGTTGGCAACTACTTCCTGTAGGCCAAATCTGGCCCACTGCTTGTTTTTGTAAATGAAGTTTTATTGGAAACATGATTGCTTTCATGCTACAACCACAGAGTTGCATAGTTATGATGGAGACCTCATGGCCCGCAAAGCCGAAAATTCTTACTCTTTGCCTCTTAACAGAAAAAGTCAGTTGAGCCCTACCCTAGACCTATTCAACCACAATCTTCTACTCATCAAAAAAAGCACAGAAGAGGCTGGGTGCGGTGGCTCACAGCTGTAGTCCCAGCACTTTGGGAGGCCAAGGTAGGCAGACCACCTGAGGTCGGGAGTTCGAGACCAGCCTGACCAACAAGGTGAAACCCTATCTCTACTAAAAATACAAAATTAGCCAGGCATGGTGACAGGTGCCAGTAATCCCAGCTACTCAGGATGCTGAGGCAGGAGAATCACTTGGACCTGAGAGGCGGAGGTTGTAGTGAGCCAAGATCATGCCACTGCACTCCAGCCTGGGCAACAAGAGCAAAACTCCAACTCAAAAAAAAAAAAAAAAAAAAAAAAAGAAAAAGCACTCCAGCCTGGGCAACAAGAGCAAAACTCCAACTCAAAAAAAAAAAAAAAAAAAAAAAAAAAAAAAAAAAAAAAAAAAAAAAAAAAAAAAAAAAAAAAAAAGCACAGAAGACTAAGACAGGAAGATGACTAGAGCCCAGGAGTTGGAGACTAGCCTGGCCAACATAGCAAGACCCCGCCACTTAAAAAAATACATAAAGTGGCCAGGCGTAGTGGCTCACACCTGTAATCCCAGCATTTTGGGAGGTCACTTGAGCTCAGTAGTTTCAGACCAGTCTGGGCAACATGGTGAGACCCCATCTTTATTAAAAATACAAAAAATTAGCAAAGTGTGGCGATAAATACCTGTAGTTCCACCAAGTCAGGAAGCTGAGTGGAAGGATTGCTTGAGCCTGGGAGGTGACGAATCCAATGAGCTGAGATTACACCACTGCACTCCAGCCTGAGTGACAGAGTGAACTCCTGTCTCAAAAATAAAAAATAAAAAAATGCATGAACTGGACAGAATTAAAAAGAGAAATAAAAATTATATATCTTTTAGGAAAAGCACATGGGCATTCCTTGGCACTCCCTGCACTGTGGACGATCTCTTCTGTGTATCTGCTGTACCCTGGGCTTCTGTCAAGGCAGTCACTCACTAAATTGTAAATGTGTGTTTACTTGTTGGCTTCCCTCCAGACTGTGAGCTCCCTGAGGGCAGGCACTATGGGTTACTCCTGTGAGCATCCCCCAGCACAGTCAAGTAGGTACTTCTTGGTTTTTGGGGTTTTTGTTTTGTTTTGGGATAGGCTCTTGCTATGTCACCTGGGCTAGAGTGTAATAGTGTAAACATGGCTCACTGCAGCTTCAAACTCTTGGGCTCCAGAGATCCTCCTGCCTCAGCCTCCCAGGTAGCTGAGACCACAGGTGCATGCCACCACACTCAGCTAAGTTTTTGATTTTTTTGTAGAGATGGAGTCTTGCTGTGTTGCCCAGGCTGGTGTTGAACTCCTGGACTCTAGTGATCCTCCCTCCTTGGCCTCCCTAAGTGCTGGAATTACAGGTGTGAGCCACTGTGCCTGGCTGAGTAGATGCTTCTTGACTAAGGTGATTTTTAAGGGAGACAGACAAGGAACAACTCCTTAGATATAGGTGTGGTGTGGGCAAGCCCGGAGCACCCTGGCAGCTCACAGAGGGGACTGGACTCAGCCCTGGGGAGCAGAACAGGCTTCCTGAGGGAGCTAAGTGCTTAAGCCGATTTCTGAAGGATTAACCAGACAGGGAGAAGGAGAGGCAACAGACATGGATGAAGTATAGCTCTCAGCAGCCAGTGACGTGGGGATTGGACACTTCCTGTCAGTGTTTGGGCGTTTTGTGTGTTCGATACTGCAGAGGTTACAACTGCGGACTGGTGACTGAACTCTAACCAGTGTGGAACCGCTACAGCCTGGTGTGTTTGAAGTTGTTTATTCCAGGCCATAGCTGCTTATTAGCAATTCCATAGCTTTAGGATTGCAGTCGTCCCTCAGTATTCATGGGGCATTGGTTCCTGAAGATACAAATCCACAGGTACTCAAGTCCCTGATAGAAAATGGTGTAGTATTTGCGTATAACCTATGCACACCCTCCCATATACTTTAAATCATCTCTAGATTTTTTATACTCCCTAATACAATGTGAATGCCATGTAAAAAGTTGTTATATTGTATTGCTTAGGAAGTAATGGCAGAAAAGCAATCTGTACATGCTCGGTACAAATATAATCATCTTTTTTCCCCCCAAATATTTTCTATCTGTGGTTGGTTGAATCCACGAATGTGGAACCCGTGGATATGAATTGTTCACTGTATTTCCCTGTCTTAAGATCTGAGTTGTACAGTTTAAAGGTCAATTTTCAAGCCAAAAAGCAGGACATAATGAAAGGAAAACATACAAATGTTGGTAAACACACTTGGTGGTATCTGGTCCCTGAAATCTTTGGCGTTGACTTAATGTCTGTTATCAAGAAGCTGGAGATGCGAGCCTGGCCAACATGGTGAAACCCTGTCTCTACTAAAAATATATCGATCAGCCAGGTGTGGTGGTGCTTGCCTGTAATCCCAGCTACTCGGGAGCCTGCGGCAGGAGAATTGCTTGAACCTGGGAGGCATAGGTTGCAGTGAGTCGAGATTGTGCCACTGCACTTCAGCCTGGGCCACGGGGTGAGACTCCATCACACACACACAAAAAAGAAGAAGCTGGAGGTGACAAAAATGACACATTTAGAAAAAAAATCCTTCAGATAAAACCCAGTGATGTTCATCAATGGATAAGCAAAATATGATCTGTCCATACAACGCAATATTATTCAGCTGTGGATAGGAAGGAGGTTCTGATGCATGCTACCACTTGGATAACTGAGAACATTCTGCTAAGCGAAAGACGCCAGACACAAATGTCACAGGTTGTACGATTCTGCATATATGAAATATCCAGGATAGGTAAGTCCACAGAGAGACTGAAGATTGGTGGCTGCCAAGGGCTGGGAAGAAAGAGGAAGCAGGGATCAAGTAACTGCTTAATGCATACGGGCTTCCTTCCAGTTTGTGGCCACTCAGCATGGTGAATGCGCTAGATACCACTGAATTGTTTGCTTAAAAATGGTTCACTCGGAGGGGCGTGCTCACACCTGTAATCCCAGCACTTTGGGAGGCCGAGGTGGGCGGATCACCTGACACCAGAAGTTTGAGACCAGCCTGGCCAACGTGGTGAAACCCTGTCTCTACTGAAAATACAAAATTGGCCGGTCGCGGTGGCAAGTGCCTGTAATCCCAGCTACTCGGAAGGTTGAGGGAGGAGAATCACTTGAACCCGGGAGGTGGAGGCTGCAGTGAGCTGTGATCGTCCCAGTGCACTCCAGCCTGGGCAACAGGAGCAAAACTCCATCTCGAAAAAAAAAAAAAAATTCACTTGATGTTATGTCAAAGTGCTTCCATTCTTTTTGCCTCAATTTTAAAATAATGTTTTAGGAGTAAAAAGGAGATGTAAATATCATTTTGTTGACAGTTAAACCTTTTCAATAATAATGATGTTTTGCATTTTGAAAAACTGATGAAACAAAACCCAGTGATGCGCAGGAAGGCCTAGTGGTTCTGAGCGAGCTGCGGGGACTCCTGCAGCCCCGCCAGGGCGCACGGACGGATGACGCACCTGACCGCTTTCTTCTTGCCTGTTTCTCTGACAGAGGTGGAGAAGACCCGGTGCCAGCATGAGCGAGAACACATTCTCGGCGCAGCGGGGGCGGCCGACCCACAGCGACCCATTCCTCTGGGACTGTTCGTTCCTGAGTGCGATGAGCACGGGCACTACGCACCCACCCAGTGCCACGGCAGCACCGGCTACTGCTGGTGTGTGGATCGCGACGGCCGCGAGGTGGAGGGCACCAGGACCAGGCCCGGGATGACGCCCCCGTGTAAGTGGGTGCAGGCTGTGTGTGGACGTGGGCCTGAGAAGGACCTCGGGGAGCGGAATTGCTGAACACGCCCTTGGCTCTTCTGCTGGCCCTGAAGCTTGAGCGGCTCCATTGGCTCCAACCCCGCTTCCTCCCTCTGCACCCTCTCCCCTCTCCTCACCCGCCTCGCTCCTCCCGTCCTTCCTCTCCTCCTCATCCTCCCCGTCCTACCCTCTTTCTCTTTCCCCACCCCCCCACACACGTGTAGGGTGTAAATACCAGGGGGCCTGCCACAGCAGTCCCCTTAGTGGTAGCAGAGAGGCTGTGTGTGCTCCGGGTTCTCCAGAAGAACTCTCTGCCAAGGGAGGCCTGGTGGTGGAATGTTCCTGCGTGGAATGTTCCTGCGTGGAATGTTCCTGTGCTGGAATACGGCAGGGATGGTGGGGACCAACCTGAACCCTTCCCCAGGGCTGGGTCCCAGGTGGTGGGACCTGTGCGCACCCTTGCAACGCTTGCCTCCTTTAGTCGTGCCCTGGGGCCTTTAGTTACTTGGGTCGATTTTCCAATCCAAGGAGCAAACAGCCGCAAAGCTTTCTGCATGAGCTCGTTCTAAGACCGTCACCAGAGGCAGTGGGAAGCTGCCGTCCTGGGAGCCACGGGCCCTGTGTGAGGCCCAGCCTGGTGGCTGTGTGACTCTGGACAAACACCTTCCCTAGCCTCAGCGTCCTCGGCCTCCTCCTCAAACATGAGGCAAAATTACCCCAGGAATGATTCCCAGCTCTAAAATTCTGCTTCTGTTGCAAATGTAGAAATTGGTCATTGTCACAAATTACCAAAAAAGAATGTAATGAATCTTTGAATCTCCACTCATAATTTAACTAATAATCATAGATTGATCTCTTATCAAATATTTCCCCAAACCTGCTAAGAAACAGTAAAACAATTACAAACTTCACTCACTCACGCAGCCCCCATTTACTGAGGGGCCAGTGCTGTGGTCGGTACTAGGACATCAAGAGGAAAGTCACAATTCTGGGCCCCCAAGCACCAGAAAGGACGGTGAATAAACAGGAACAGTGTAGGGAGGTGAGTGTTAGCAGACAGCGGACAGGGGCCAGGGAGCCGGGGAGGAATCCTGGCTTGTGTGGGGCGGTGGGCTCATGGGTGAGGCTTTCCAGAAGCAACACCATGTGAGCCACGTTTCTAAACCTGCGTATTGGTCATGAGGGCAACGAGGAGCCTCGGATGGGTTTGGAGCAGGTGCCCACGTGAAGCAGGTTTTAGTTCTAGAATATCACTGGCTTGGGGGGTGGAAGCGGAGATGCAGGCATGACAGTCCCTGGCAGGGGGAGGTGAAGGCGGTTGCTGTACTTACGATGAATCCAGGTGAGAAATGGATGGATTTTAGAGTTATGAAAGAGGTTGAGTCACCGATTGGGTGTAATAGGCAAGATAGACAAGGGAAAGTAACCTTGGGGACAACCTTGCCCAGCTCTCACTGTAGAGAGCAGGAGACCAGGCCTGGGAAGATCCGTGTCCTGTGCCCACAGAGAGTGAGTGGGCGGGGCCAGGACGGAGCCCGATCAGCCCTCCTGGCCCTCCTTACCCTGCAGCACAGCTGTCTGTCTCCTCCTGGGTTGTGTCTTACCAAGTGGATCAAGGAGCCGGGCCAGGGGTCAAGATCAGCAGATAGGAAGGCAAGCCTGATTCCAAGGGAAAAGGAGCCCCTGGCCATCATTTTTTCTTGAAAGCCCACAAGCATCATGCTCTTGCTTGTCAGGCCCCGGCCTGTCCCATCCCTGTGGCACTGGGACAGGGTGCACTGTATGAGGCAAACTTATTTTATGGCTCCTGCAGCATGAGAAAGCCCCACAGCTTGCACTACGGCATGGCTCCCTGTGGATGCTGTGTGTGTTGTGCTACCACTGGTGCTGGTGCTGCTCTTACTTGGTTCATCCCTCTCATGCCAGTGCACAAGGCAGAGCATGAGTAGCCAAGCTTTTCTATTAAGAGGGAGGCTAGCTGGCATGGTGGCTCACACCTGTAATCCTAACACTTTGGGAGACGTAGGTGGGCAGATCCCTTGAGGTCAGGAGTTTGAGACAAGCCTAGCCAACGTAGTGAAATGCTGTCTCTACTAAAAATACAAAAATTAAGTGGGTATGGTGGCGCATGCCTGTAATCCCAGCTACTCAGGAGGCTGAGGCACAAGAATTGCTTGAACCAGGTGGGCAGAGGTTGCAGTGAGCCGGGATCACGTCCATCCAGCCTGGGCAACAGAGCAAGACTCCGTCTCAAAAAAAAAAAAAAAAAAAAGAAAAAGAAGAGAAAAGAGGGAGGCCAAGCCTTTTTTTTTTCACATGACCTTTAATGCTCTGCATTACCTTCATCAGTGCCCTTTGAATGACTGAGGGCTTTCTACTTCTGGTGCTTTCAGATATAAAATGGGCGTTGTGTGGCTGTGGCAGTTTGTGGTGCCATGAAGGTGATGTGAGCTGATATGTAGGTGTGTGTATGTGTGTGCATGTATGTGGGTGTGCGTGTGTGCATCTATGTGTTCCTGGTGCACATGGACCTTGCTCACTGACCCCTTCTGCCATGCAGGTCTGAGTACAGTGGCTCCCCCGATTCACCAAGGGCCCGCAGTGCCGACTGCCGTGATCCCCTTGCCCCCCGGCACACATTTACTCTTTGCCCAGACTGGGAAGATTGAGCGCCTACCCCTGGAGGGAAATACCATGAGGAAGACAGAGGCGAAGGCGCTCCTTCATGTCCCGGTGAGTGCTGGCTGATTGTACGTGGTGGCAGCTCCTGCTTCAGGGACCTGGAGAAACAAGCAGGACGAGGTCAGACCAGGACTCCAGGCTCAACCCTGGAACCATGGGCGCTCACTCATTCCATGTGATCCCAGGTGACCATGTCTAGATGGGGGCCACTGTACTGCTGAGCTGCCTCGGAGGCTCACAGTAAGATGGGCACAGATGTGGCTGGGATTACAGGCGCCCACCACCATGCCCAGCTCCTTTTTGTATTTTTAGTAGAAATGGGGTTTCACCATGTTGGCCAGGCTGGTCTCGAACTCCTCACCTTGGGTGATCCACCCGCCTCAGCCTCCCAAAGTGCTGGGATTACAGGCATGAGCCACTGCGCCTGGCCACTGTTTTTGTTTTTTAATGATAGCCATTGTAACGGGTGTGAAGTGGTCTTGATTTGCATTTTCCTAATAATTTATAACATTGAACATCTTTTCATGTACTTATTGGTCACTTGTATATTTCTTTGGAGAAATGTCTACTTAAATCCTTTTGCCTATTTTTAGATCTGTTTTTTGGTTGTTGAGTTGTGGAAATTCTTTATACATTCTGGATATTAACCCTTTAAAAGATACGTGATTTGCATTATTTTCTCCCATTCCATAGGTTGTGTTTTCACTCTCTCAACTGTGTCCTATAATGCACAGAAATTTTTAATTTTGATGTAGTTCAATTTACCTATTTTTTTGTTGTTGTTGCCTATGCTTTTGGTGTCATATCCAATAAATCGTTGCCAAATCCAACGTGATAAGGTTTTCCCCCGGTTTTCTTCTGAGTTTTATAAGTGTGCTCTTACCTTTAGGTCTTGGATTCATTTTCAGTTAATTTTGAATGTGTTATGAGGTAAGAGTCGCTATCCTTTTGGACTTGACCCATTAAGGAGGAAGTATGTGCTCATCCTCTGATTTCCCAGTAAAAGATCATCCTGGCCCACCACTTCCTTGTGCAGAGAGCCTCCCTCTTGAGTCCTTCCCTGGCTTCGTAATGCCTGGTACTGTGTTCACGGCCAAGTACCCACTCCCAGGGTTTCTTGTAACTGAACAACTCAGTGTTTCCAGGCTACTGACAGAATCGAACCTCACCACATGCTGAGATCATACAGTCTGCCAGCTTCCTCCTGAGCTTCTCATGGGCAGCATCTAAAGAAAGGAACTCCTCACTGTCTGCTCAAGGGAAAAGTTTGTGCTTCTGTTTTGTTTTTAACTTTTTATTTTGAAATAATTAGGGCCACAGGAAGTTATAAAGGCATACAGAGAGGTTCTGTATACCTTTCACCTGGTTTCTCGCATTGGCTCAATTTTACAGAAGTATAAATGCCTATCGTTTTAAAATACTTTAATTTGTAAGAGACCTCAACAAGACTTTTCCAAATCAACCTCTGAGCAAGTGGCTTGTTTTGATTTTTTTTCTGGCTTTTTTTTTTTTTTTTTTTTTTTTTTTTTTTTTTTTTTTTTTTTTTTTGTTGCTTTGGATAATTTAAGTAACTTAGCGTTCTTTCTAGGTTGGAGTCTTGTCTAAATATCACCATAGTTCATCATACATAATGAGCACCAAGTAAATACTCATTAATGAATTACAGGCAGGTAATAGATTTGCCTCTTCTGAGGAGAGGTTGGCTTACTCAGAGCTAACTCTCAGTGGCTTTTCAAACTGAAGTATAGCACAGTAGATTTTCATGAAACTCAAATCACAAGTAAAATGCTACTCAATTTTGCTTCTTCCAGTCCTTTTTTGTTTCACTTTCTTAAGAACTGATGTGTGGAAAGGGACTCTGGGCGTGTTTGCTGAAGGAAATGTTCTCTTTCCTTAGTGCCGTGGAGAGCCAGAGAAGTTGTTGAGCATGGGATGCTTTAAAAGAGGAGGTGCCTATAGTTGGAGCCTGAGCATTTGGTTGTGATGGTTTAAGAGAGTGAATGCCTTAAAAGTGCACAGCATTGGCCAGGCGCAGTGGCTCACATCCGTAATCTCAGGACTTTGAAATGTCCACGCAAGTGGATTAATTGAGCTCAGGAGTTCAAGACCAGCCTGGGCAACATGGTGGAACCCCATCTGTACAAAAAACAGAAAAATTAATTGGGTGTGGTGGCACATACCTGTAGTCCCCAGCTACTCTGGAGGCTGGGAGGATTGTTTGTATTTAACCTAACTTATCCCGTCATTTACTTGGGTCTTTTGTCATTTCATGCTGCAATGTTTTGTAGCATTCAGTGTGGAATCTTGCATATTTAAAAATGTTTATCCTTATATATTTTCTGTTTTTTCGATGTTACCACAATTATTAAGGTTTATTTTTTATATTTTGCTAGTATATAGAAAAGTAATTTTATATTTATTTTGTTTCTTGCACCCTTGCTAGATTCACTTATCGATTATAGCAGTTTTTTAGATTCCCCATGACTTTCTATGTAAACAACCATATTATCTTAGAATAGAGTGATTTTACTTCTTTCATTTCAATATTCATGCTTTTTATTTCTTTTTCTTTATCACCTTCAGATAGGCAAAGATTTCTTAGTATTCAAAAAACATTAGCTATAAAAGGAAAAAACAATAAACTAGATTTACTAAACATTAAAAACTTTTGCTCTCCCAAACACTATTAGGAAAATGAGGCCGGGCGTGGTGGCTCACACCTGTAATCCAAGCACTTTGGAGGCCAAGATGGGCGGATCACCTGAGGTTGGGAGTTCAAGACCAGCCTGACCAACATGGTGAAACCCCGTCTTTTAAAAAGAAAAAGAATATGAAAGCACAAACTACATACTGAGAAGAAATAATATGTGGGTGCAGTGGCTAACGCCGGTATTACCAGCACTTTGGGAGGCTGAGTCAGATGGATTGCTTGAGCCAGGAGTTTGAGACCAGCGTGGGCAAGACAGTGAGACCCTGTTGCTACAAAAAGTTTTAAGAGTTAACTAGGCGTGGTGGCACATGCCTGCAGTCCCACCTACTCAAGGGTCTGAGGAAGAGGATCACTTGAGCCCAGGAGGCTGAGGCTGCAGTGAGCAGTAATCACGCCACTATACTTCAGCCTGGGCAAGAGACCGTGTCTCAAAAAATACATATTTATGCATACACACACACACACACACACACACACACATTCCTACACATATAGATGTGCATATATATGTATATGACAAGCATTTTGTCTGAAATATATGAACAACTCCTACAACTCAATAATTTTTTTTTTTTTGAGATGGAGTCTCGCTGTGTCACCCAGGCTGTAGTGCAATGGCACAGTCTTGGCTCACTGCAGCCTCCACCTACTGAGTTCAAGCAATTCTCCCTCAGCCCCCCGAGTAGCTGGAATTACAGGTGTGTGCCACCAAGCCCTGCTAATTTTTTGTATTTTTAGTAGAGATGGGGGTTTCACCATGTTGGCCAGGATGGTCTTGATTTCCTGACCTCATGATCCACCCACCTCGGCCTCCCAAACTACGGGAATTACAGGCATGAACCACCGTGCTCACCGCATAAAAATGTTTAAATGGACAAAAGACTTGACACTTCATTACAAAAGATATCCAAAAGCCTGTAAGCAGGTGAAAAAATTCTCGCGATCAGCAGTAACTCAGATGCCTGTAGATGGACCATTCTCACCACTGGTCTTCACTTCCAGGCTAAAGTCATCATTGGCCTGGCCTTTGACTGTGTAGACAGGATGGTTTACTGGACGGACATCAGTGAGCCTTCCATCGGGAGAGCTAGTCTACATGGCGGAGAGCCAACCATCATCATTAGACAAGGTAAGTGAGAAAACAGCATTTTCCCTTTTTGATTTTGCTTCTAGCAGCCCAGGTGGCCACTATGCCAGAAAAGCACAGCAAATTAAGCCCAGCTTTCACAAACGTTTCTCAGTCTTTTGTTGCATTACTATGATAAAGTACATGAAGGTCAGACACAGTCAACTCTTCGGTATTCAACCTCAATTCCTCTATTGAGGAAATTCCTCAATTAAGGATGCCAATTTCAACCAAGGATTCTGTGCATTTTTTTATGCCTACATTCAACCAATCAAGACTATTTTACATGGATATGATTTATCTAGTTCAAAGATCATTACAACAAAAATCCAAGGACCTCCAAAAATTTCACTGTGCTGAAATGGTCAAGTATTACATGTTGCTTAAGTCGGTGACTCATCAACCAACTTGAGAATATTTTTGCTCATTCAGCATTGTCATGCTGATGATATTTGTTCTGTGGAGTCATCTTGCGTTCTCTGCAAAATATTCACACCAAAGATACATCTTTAAAATAGAACAGCCTCATTTTGTATTTCTTTTCAATTGGCACTGAATGTACCTTTTTCTATTTTCAATGGAATGTTTCCCTAACAATTGATATTCTAGAAGGTTTCCTGTGCCTATGGAACAACCCCCCGAAGCATTTTTTTTCCCTTCTTTGTTGCCTTCACTAGAGATGATGCAGCAGGAATTAAGCTGAGGTTGAATTAACTATGTCTGGCTTTAGATATAGACCCTGAACCCTTTTCTGGAAGCCAACAGGCTATTTAAATCATGTCTGCCAGTTTTCATGCTTTGGTTTAGTGAAAAACAGTTTGAAAATGCCTCTCTGTCTGTGTTAAAAATGTTCCTTTATTATCTGCGATTTCATTTTAAAACCCAGTGGAAGAGGGGAATAGGTCATCGTTTGCTATTTCCTGTTGCTTTTGGAGCTCATAGTCATCCAAGAATTCTGTAAGCACAATAAGAAACATTCCAAGCAAAAGCCTACTTACTGTGAAAACACAGAATTAAACCAAAATGTGACCTCTGCAGAAGAAAGATCACTGGGAATAATTTTTTTTTTTTTTTAAGAGAGAAAAAAGTTAACTCCTTAGCGTGGTATAGGTTGGTGCTTTCCTAGTGAGTGAAAGTGAGTTAGGTATCACTTTATTTTCTTCCTTATTTCATAACAGCCCCGAACCCCAGGCTTTTCTTTCTTTTCTTGAGTTATAGTCCCAACCAAGTATCTTTAAAAAGCATCATATCTTTGACGAGCAGTAAGGAATCCTCCTTCCTCGGACTTCACATGGAAGGATAAGATTTTTCAGACTATTCCCTTGGAAGAGTAGCTTATGAAGAAGTATTTTGAGTTGAGGGAGAAGGGGATTGGTTGCTCTTGGGTTTCGGATCGGGACCAGGGCTGTTTCTAAGGAGACGACAGGCTTGGAGCTTCCTCCGGGCGCCTCACAAAAATACTCTCACACAGCAGCCTCTTCCCTCTGTTCTCTTTGTGTATGTCTGAGTGGCTCCTGTCTCTCATGCAGGATGAGAGAGCCAAGAGACAGGAGCTCCTTCCAAATATACTCCACAATGACTTATTCTGGTTCTATCTGAAAGCCAGAAGGGACGTTTGGAGGTCAGTCTCACTGTCCCTTTTCCTCCAGGGAATGTGGGAAATATTTTAATACTTTACAGATTTCTACTTTAGGTTTAGATAATAAAGACCTTGTTCAGGGAGGGTTTCTAATTCTCAATAAACTTCCTCTGGTGGGCTTTCTTTCTGGGGGATTGGATGTGGCCAGCATCCATGCTCACCATCATGGGAGGCCTCTGGTGAAGGCTGATGCAAAGGGAAATGAGGGTCTGCATTGCTTGTATATTGACAAAAGAACACAGTATTGGGGCCGAGTGTGGTGGCTGACACCTGTAACCCCAGCACTTTGGGAAGGCAAGGCAGGCAGATCACTTGAGGTCAGGAGTTCAAGACCAGCCTGGCTAACATGGTGAAACCCTGTCTCTACTAAAAATACAAAAATTAGCCGGGCATGGTAGCGCA